CCCCGCTTCATCATCGTGGGCTACGTGGACGATATGGAGTTCGGGTCGTACGACAGCGATTCTCCGGGTCAGAGGATGGAGCCGCGGGCGCCCTGGGCAGAGCAGCTGGGGTCTGAGTTCTGGGAGCAGCAGACACGGGCCCTGAGGGTCGCTGCACCGGCTTTCCGACAGAAACTGCTAGAACTGCGCCGGGACTACAACCACAGCAGGGCAGGTGAGCAGCTGGGCGCGACCCCTCACCCCATACCCACGGATGTCAAGGGGGACAGTCCCCAGACTTGGCAGTAGGAGAACCCCAGACTTGGCGTGCGAGTCGCAAACCTCCATCAGGAAGTTGCTCACAGGCGTCCGTGCCCAATGGTTTCAGTGTTAGTGTAAGTTCCAGGTTTTTCCCAGCGGGAGGGCGGGGCGGGGTGACCCCGGGGCTGACACAGGGTGGGTTCAGTGTCTCACACCCTCCAGGAGATGTCTGGCTGCCAGGTGGGGCCCGACCTGAGCCTCCTCCATGGGTACAGTCAGTTCGCCTACGACGGTGCCAATCACATCGCCATGAACCCGGACCTGCGCTCCTGGACCCCCGCGGACCCCGTGGCTCAGATCACCCAGCGCCAGTGGGAGAAGGATGGACGCACTGAGCGCTTCAGGAGCTACCTGGAGTGGGACTGCGTGGACTGGCTGCGCAGACTCCTGAAGAGTGGGAGGGAGACCCTGCAGCATACAGGTGAGAGGGGCCTGTGGCTTCAAAGATCCAGATCTCCCTCAGGCTGACGCCCCCGGACAAGGATTGACTGTCAGGACACAGACCTCCTGGTCAGAGAGGGAGGAGACCGCCTGGGTTTCTGTTCTGTGCTGGACAGAGACTCCCCCAGAGCACCCTACTTTTCCTGAAGGTCAGTGAAGGAGTTCAGTCTCCCAAAATGGAGGGGAGGACACCCCTGAAATTGCCCTTCACAGGATCCCTTTGTCCCGGCAGTCATCTTGGGAACCTTCAGTTTCTCACTGTCTTGGTTTTGGTCTGACTAACATTTTTCAGATTTGACTCCTGCTTTTATGAGTCCCCAGGTCAGGAGCATAAGTTGTGTTTTCATTCTTAGAAGCCGGCATCTTCCTTTTCTGAGCTCTTACCCTGATGCTAGGACATGCTAAGACTATCCCCAACCCCCAGTTCAGGCTGGTTTATAGGTATTGTGCTTCCTCTTCCCACCCCATTGCCCTGTCCACCCTGAGGGGGGTCACATAAGGCTGCTTTAGTCTCTGGGATGGAAAAACCCAACATAGGGGCCTCCCTGGTGGTGCAAAGGGTTCAAGGGCAGCACTAGGAAGCTTCCACTGCCACTGCAGCTCTAGTCCAACCCATGCTGGGGAGGTGACTACATGGCCTAGGAGACCCCTCCTGACCAGCCTGCTGCTCCCCTCATCCATGTATTTCAGTCAATCCGCCTGTTCTGCTCCCCATCCTCTCACAGTCCCTGCACCACTGGCCGGTGCCCCAGTTCTTTTAAGCACAAATAAATAAAACTCCCAAGTGAATGTTTTGACCCTTCTCCTTAGATCCTCCAAACACACATGTGACCCACCACCCCTCCTCTGACCAGAAGGTCACCCTGAGGTGCTGGACCCTGGGCTTCTACCCTGCAGAGATCACCCTGACCTGGCAGCGAGATGGGCAGGACCTGACCCAGGACAGACAGCTGCTGACCCTCCTGCTGTTCCCCTTAGCAGAGTATTTCGTTGACCTGCCTGTTCTGCACCCCTCTTTGTATCTAATGAATCTTCTCACCCCCCGTACTTATGGCCTATACCCCAATTCTTATCTGCATAAATAAATAAATCTTAAAATAAGAACCTATAGTGAATGGTCTGACCCTTCTCCTCAGACATGCCAAAGACAAATGTGACCCACCAACCCATCTCTGAGCATGAGGTCACCCTGAAGTGCTGGGCCCTGGGCTTCTACCCTGCGGAGATCACCCTGACCTGGCAGCGAGATGGGGAGAACCTGACCCAGGACACAGAGCTGGTGGACACCAGGCCTGGGGGAGATGGAACCTTCCAGAAGTGGGCAGCTGTGGTGGTGCCTTCTGGAGAGGAGCAGAGATACACGTGCCATGTGCAGCATGAGGGGCTGCCTGAGCCCCGTGTCCTGAGATGGGGTGAGTGGGGGGAGGTGGTCACAGAGGATCTTCTTAGGAGGATCAGGAGTCCTGCTGGACCCCTCAGAGGGTCAGGATGAGGTCTGGGGCTCACGGTCTCCCCTCCTCTTCCCTTCCAGAGCCCCCTCCTCAGCCCTCCACCCCCACTGAGGGCCTCATTGCTGGCCTGGTTCTCCTTGGAGCTGTGCTCGCTGGGGCTGCGGTGGCTGCAGCAGTGAAGTAGAGCAAGAAGAGCACAAGTACGGAAGGAGTCCGACATCCTGTCCCCTGGGGGCTTTCAAGTCCCAGGGAGAACTTGCCTCACTTGGTTCACGGGAAGCACCATCCACACTGTGTTCCCAGTCTGGACCTCATTGCTGACCCTCTTTTATAAAAACTTATAAATATGAATCACAGACTGTTCACCGTGTGAACTCTGATGATGAGGCCAATATTCCCAGCAGAAGACAGAGGGAAGGTCCCTGCTGAGGACAGTCCCCAGGGCCAGTCCCCCCTCATCTCCTTTCTTCATATTTCCTTTTCCTTCCCTGGGTCTTCAGCACATGTTTGGAAACTTCCCTGTGGCCCAAATGAGGGGACTCACTTAGGACTTCATGGTTCAACTGCTTTGTGGTCTTACAGGATGTTGCTTCCCACAGGTGGAAAAGGGCGAAGCCACCCTAATGTGGGTAAGTGTGGATAAGGGAGTTTGGTCCCTGAGCCGCTGAGGACAGTGTAGGTGGGGCCCACGGAAGTCACCTCCCTCAGTCCCCCATGTGGTCTCATCTCATGGCTCTGACCAGGTTCTGTTTTATTCCCACCCCTCACCCACTGAACAGAAAATTTCCATGGATTCGATAAATCTCTGATATCTACAAAGGTGAGGCCCTGAGGCCTGCGTGGGAGGGGCTGGGGCAGAGAGGAGGGACCGGGTGATGGGGAACTGTGAGTGGGTCATTTGAGGATGAGATGGGCTATTGAGAATGTCAACACTTTCCTAATTGGTTCCTGATCATTCTCCTTCACAGTGTGAGGCAGCTGCCTGTGGAACTGAGTGACACAGGGTTTCTCCTCATCTTCACTTTGTGACTTAAACATCCACTAATTTATCTTGTTTTAAAAGGCATATGATGCCTCTATCTTATTTATAAAGATCTATTCATTTATGCATACCAAACTGGCGTGCTGGCTAGAGGCACAGGGGTGGTGATAGGATTCACCAGAGACAGAGTGGGGAGAGGAACAAGTAGATCAGTTAAGAAACACTGCCGAGGGGAGCAGAGGGCAGATCAGGAGAGGCCTGCTGGGCCATGTGGGTCAGCTCCCTGGCCGGGGACTCACTCACGTTGCAGTTGTGGGAGGCGCTGCCACAGCCAGTGTAACTGTCCAGAGAGAAGCACCCGGTGGCT